CATCATTATTTCTTTACGTTCTATAATTACAGAAAAAATGTACAACTTATTTAGAACTCTAGGATAGGAATATTGTACAAAAATTATTTTACGTCGAACTGTTGGAAGACTCATGAACTATATTTATCATTGCTTAAGTATAAATATAATTAATATGACTATATCTATTACGTAAAAATTAACCAGGATTCGTAATGTTAATCGGATTAACTGCATTCTCTTTTTTCGTAGCAAGTGTATCATTAATATTTGTGTTGTCATTTAAGATAGAGTCTTTGTCGATCATTTGGCTTTTAGAATATACAGAATTAGATGTATGATCGTTTTCAATTAATCTATTCGCATCTACATGTGTATTGGCAGATACTACGTTATCTTTTATCATACTGGAACTATTGCTACTAAGGCTTGTAGCGGCAGTGTGTTTTAAAGCCAAATATTCATCGACCGAACCCATTGGATGTTTTTCGATAACTTTGTTGTTAGTTGCTTCTACTACAGGCGGTGACGAAGGAAGATTTTTATTCGGAGATGTATTAAGCTTGGAAAGTCTTTGACGTTCTCTTAATCGTTTACGAATTTCCGACTGAATCTTCGATTCTTTTATTACATTTTGTACATCGTCCGTTTGATAATAACGACTCGCCCAAGTTTCAGTTCCATTCGACTTTTGTGTCGAATTTGATTCCGTTTGTGATTTATATCCTTTAGTTTCCACAGTTTTATTATTTTTGTCATTCTCGCTATTTTCTATATCATCCATATCGTCGCAATAATCATCCAAATCAATTATTTCATCCAAGTCAATGGATTTTTCTTCGTCTAAATCTACTTTATCTGAAATATTTAATGCTTCGGTTGACTCTTGTTTGGTTGGTAATGAATTACTATTCATCATTTTTGATGTAACATTATTTTCGTGTTCTTTTTCATTTAATTTCACATCCTGTGACAAACAATCGTCACTTTTTGCACCCTTTAAATTTTGACTAGCATTACCTGATTTTATATCATGTGTATCGACTTCAGAAGTTACATTTTTCGATTGTTCTTTTACATGCGATTTTTTCTTTGTTTTTCGCTTTTTACTACTAGATTTTGATTGGCTATCCTGATAAGGTACATTATTACTATAATTACGTTTAAAAGCTTCAGTTTTATGTGTACTATCTATTTCTTTGTGTGTTTCTATCAAGCTTTTGGTTGATTTATTTTCCTTTGAATTTTCTACATTATTTACACTACGAACAGTATTTATGTCTCTATTCTCAATATGATTAATATTGTCTTTGACTTCTATAACTCGTTCGTTCTGTAATTTTTTATTTACACGTACACCACTATGAGGCTCTCCTTCACTATCACTAGACAGTAGCTCAATAGTTGGAGTTGGTTGAACAACTAACACTACATCCTCATCTTCAGCAGTACTATTCTGCTGAGCACTAATAATTCTTTCTAACTGTCTTCTGCAATTTTCCTTTTCTTTTATTTCATCTTGTTCAGCCTTAGCTATAACATTTTCATTTGAGATATCATTACTTGCCGCAGATTTTAAAGTATTTGGTATTATATCTTCTTCTTTTCTTATTAAAGCTCTTATTGCTCTCGCACGCATTTCTAATTCTAATAAGTCTAATAAACTATCACCTTCCTTTTCTTTACTTTTATCTGTATCATTCTCCTTTTTTACTTGTATGTTTTTACAAGCAGTATCAGAAACTTTCTTAGAAATGGATTTACTATCATTCTTTTTATTAAGTTGAGATTTTCCTTTCTGCTTAATCCTTTCTTTCTTTATTTTTCCTTTAAATACTTTTGAACCTTCTTCCTTTTTAGATATATCATCATCAGTAAACCATTCCTCTGTATCTGAGATAATTTCCAAGGAGGGTCCTATTGTCACGAAAATAATTTATATACGACATATAGTAAACCTTAACGTACATGACTAAAAACATACCTGAATCATCTGATTCACTTGTATCTGATGATTCTAACATAGGTTTTCCGTTTAAAATACATAATATACGGCTCTTTGACATGCCACTTAATTCATTAGCACACCATTTTTCTAACTGTCCAAGATCCATTTTCTACAAGAAATAAATGTGTGAACTATATACAAGAAAAATATAACCTATTTGACACATCCTAAACTAGGCATACCTTTAAAGTTTGAGGTAACATCATTTGTATTTTTTCAGCTTTAACAGATTTAAAAAGTTGACGAGCCAATTCCCTACGATCTGATAAATATTCTTTAATTGGTTTCAAATCCCTAGCATCTACTTCTTCATCAGATGATAGTGAAGAAGAGGTACCAGATGAACTACTACCTTCCTAAAATTTAATATGATATTTCTAATAAATTATACCAATGTCTATTCACAAGAAGTAACAAACAACACTGAAATAATAGGGACAAACAATATAGAGAAGAGAAATCAATTACCTCACTACTATATGCACTTTTCTTTCCTTTTGACATATTGGATTTACAAAGTATATTCAATAACTCGTATAAATGACATTCAATTGCAACAAATTCTTATTATGTATTAATTACCTGCATCTTACATTTTTAAAACACATATTTAGAAATATAAACATGAAGTAAAGAAAATATAGACGTATCATCTTATGAGATTTCGCGATCCATATGTTTTGAGAACTATGCAAGAAATCAAATTTTTTCACGGACGTCGTAATTCTAATCTCAATCACAAATGAATCGTCTGTACCTCATCTAAACTACATTGGGTTAAAAGTATGGTTAAGGATCTCAGAAATCCTACGACGGAATATGAAAATGCATTCGATGTGAAATCTATGTTGCGAGTTGTTTACGGTAAAACAGCTACCTGCTACTCGTGTCAGAAAATAACCTATCTTATTGTTGACAATTATTTGTCAACAAGATGATACGAATTAAACGAAATACAGTTCTATGAATAGTTGAAAGCATATAAAAATATTTTATTTTTAAACGTAGTGTTGCTGGGATTATAAGAATATTATTTCTTGTGCGGAATTAATTTTGTGACAAGTAATTGACAGATGACAGATAACCAAGTCAGTAATTAAAATTTGTACTTCCTACTTGCTAATGCTGTACATAAATGTGAATTTATGTTTTTTGATAAAGACTAAATCAATTATTATCACTAAGAGTGATATCTGTATTTCAAGATATGTGTTGCAATAAAGTTTATTGAATTTATTCTATATTATATTTCTAATTTCTATATTCACAAATAATAATAAGAAAAAAAAAGAAAAAAAATGCTGAACAGAGTTAAATCAGTATTAATGAATGCTATGGGTGGGAGTGAACTTGGCCTACAATACCCTACTGACTCTGATAATGAAACAGTAACAGATTATCTTAATTCAAACATTGCTGCAGAAGTAGAAAATAAACCGTATAGTAGACCTAGTTTTCTAGGATTAACTATAGAAGAAACTCAAGTGAGTATCTAACTATCTAAAAGGTTATAAATACTATAAGTAATAAAACTTTGACTTTAACATTTTGTAATCAATAGGTAAGTGCTGATCACAGGGTAAGACCAATTATAGTTCCAAGAGATTTAAGTCGGTTACCATGGTGTGCTGGTTATGCAGAATGTATAAATGCTGGAAAAAGTACATGGAATGAAGATCAAACTTCTGCAACTAGAGGAGACCTCAAATTATCGGATGTTAATGTTACATTGCCTTATGTCATATTTTCTATGTTTGATGGACACGCTGGTTATCAAGTGGCTTTAACAGCAAGATTACACTTACA